CCGATTCGGAGTCAGAGGAGGAGGCCGGGGTGGTGACGGAGGCAGAGCGAGAGGCAGAGGTGAGCGTGGGGAGACCAGCCAGGGAGGTGGTCTGGCGGGAGCTGCCACTGCTCGACGCCGCCTCGGCGCTGCTCGAAGCCGCCGTGGTCGTGGCCTCCGAGGATGAGGCCGAGGTGGTCGAGGCCGACACGACGAGGGTCGTGGAGGCTGCCTGGGGCGCCTTGCCGAGCGTGGCCGGGTTGATGAACTTGGGCGAGTAGGTCTCGGTGCCCTTGTAGGCAGCGCAGCCGGGGACGGTGGTCTTGGGGGGAGCGCGGCCGCCGCCGCAGTCGAGGATCTCGCAGACCTCGCCCGTGTCGGGGACGTACCAGATGCGGGTTGCGTAGGGCGTGCCCTGGGAGGGAGAGTAGACGCTGTCGAAGGACGTGCAGCCGCCGATGTCTGTCTTGGCCACGGCGCTGGAGGCCAGGAGAGCGGCCGCGGCGAGGATGCGGAAGGCCATTATTAGTATTACAAGAGATCTGTCTCTCTCAATTTTCTGGTGCAAAACGAGTGATGGGACTGTCAATAGTCGAATAGGTAGAACGAATGACTGGGTGAGGTCTGCGAAAGAGGGCAGCAGGAGAGGAATAAAAAGGAAAATCTCAGATTCACGGTCTTCTCATTCTTTGCCTCCGTTAATATTACCTTTCCCCATGTGGGCAGGTAATTGTCTTGGCGCTGTTCCTGGGAGTAAGCGCTTGGCACACATTGGGCCTGTCGACTGGAAATAACTGGTGATGGACTCGTACCCGTAATGATCTCATGTTATCATGCCGGTTTAACCGACTCTTCACCGAGCTCAGGTCTTGATGAACCAACACAAGTATCTAACCATGATGCTTTTTCAATTGGAGATGGAATAGAGATAGACAATGAACTTCAGACACTGGTAGCGACAGCCGCCCGGGTTGTCCTTTACGTCGCATGAAAATCGGCAACACCGTACGCGATCCTCGCATGGTCTGGTCTCTGTTTCAGGGCGAGGCTCGTAGTCTCCGTGAATCACGAACGAGCTCTCAATTCACAGGGAGAGGTTTCAGAACCCAGCAGATATACAGGCAATTCTACGAACTGGAATATTAGGCAGGCAGATTCAATCATTCTTTCAGTACGCGACAAGTATTGCTGTTGGCACGACATCACGATCCAAGTGAAGGTTGGGACAAGAGTGTATTGGAGTCTTCGAACTAATAACAGCGTTTATAATATATTGAACAGGGCCTCTCAGGGCGCAGAACTTGAAATCAAAAACACACACGGATTCCCAGGTACAACAGGCATTATAAGAAATATAGAAAAACACAATTCAACTTTTCGTTTACTGAGGACCGGACTGGGAGAGAGCAATCTTCTTCCAGTGGTCACGCTCAGCCTCGAGCTTAGCAATGCGCTCCTCGAGCTCGTCGAATCGCAGAGCCTTTCGCTCACGCGACTTTCGAGCAGCAAGGGTATTTCGAGCGCGCTTCATGGCAATAGTATCGTTAGGGTCCTCAACGATGATAGGAGGAAGGGGCTTGTCTCGCTTGCGAGGCGCAACACCCGCAACTGAAGAGTGGCGGGCGCCCGAAGTTGGGGATCCACCAGACTTCCTGCGGTTGCTGGCAGGACGCTCTGGTTCCAGATCCTCTGATCGGAGAGCAGGGGAGTTGTCCGCAGGCTTCTCCGAACCAGAGTCAGTGGGGAACAAAGAGTACCAGGAGTCGATGGGAGGACCGTCAAAGTCGGCAGAACCAAAGTTTGGAGACACATCAAAACCATCAAAGTCGGGAGACTCGTTTATTGATGGAGATGTCAGCGATGTGAGGGCAGCCGAGTTTGGTGCAGACATGTAAGGCTCATTGACGAGGAGATCATGAGGCGAGACGGTCCCAAGATTGGAGGTGGAGCTGGAAGCGCTGCCACCAAAATCAAAGGCGGTAGGAATCGCTGGCGACGAGAAAGCGGTGTTAACCCCACCCTCGAAAGGGATGAAGTCATCCAAATCGACGTCTGGAGGAATTGGTAAGCAATGTGGACGAGATGCGGAAGATGAGGCAATATGAAACAAACCTGCTGCGTTCATCATCTTGGCGGTTGGGACTTGACCGGTGCTCTGATTAAACAATGGCACTGGAGGTCTCTTTAACCGAGAATGCTGATTCAGGGAGACTGTGGATGACGGAGCTGAGGACGCGTAGAACTGATTGCTGAAACGTTTGTTGGAATTGACAGAAGACGGTAACTGATGATGACCAATAGCCTGAATGATCTGGGTCACTCGCTGGTTCTGGACAGCAGAGGCAGACGGTTGTTGCGACTGTGTTGTCAGATTGGCAGGGATGTGGGCAGAGTGACGTCGATGGCTAGACAGTGATTGAGGCCTATTAAGGGCTGGACTGGTAGGCGAATTGTCGAACAAGACAAAGTCCTGAGGCAGATTGTCGTTCTGATGATTGGGCTCGGGTTTGACCGGCAAGCTGGGAGTTGAGTTGGGAAGCCATGTTGACTGGGAATCCGTGGTGAAGACTGGGAAGTCTAAGCCTGAAATGGTGGCGGTATTGAGGGAACTGGAGCGGGTGCTAGATGCAGTGCTGAAGTTCAAATCAACCAGATGGTGATTTGAGTTGAGGGGGGGAGTGGAGATGGTGGGAATGTTTTTCTTTGAAGACTGAATGGTGGCGGCTGAGGCACGATGATTACTCCATCTTGAATGAGGCTCTGGGGCTGCTGAGATGTTCTATTGTGAATGTATGCACTTGGGGTTGAGGGAGAAGAAGGGAAAAAAAAAAAAAGGAGTGGGGAGTGGTGGTGCCTAGAGGGTTATGTACATTTCTGAGGCAGAAACGCATCAGGCTGCGCACAAGGTGCCCGCTAACAGAGTTGACACCATTGGTTGCAGAAAAGCTGTTAAGTCGCGAGTTCCTCGGGTACGTACCGGTACGTACCGTGCAAGCCCCGTCTCGTAGGGCGCAAGTGATGTCTTGGGGTATGAGTCACACTTGGAAAGCGGGGCGCCATCTGTCCATTTTGGGACTCGCCGTGCGATGAGCGCCGCCCATTGGCTACCGCAGGGAGCAAAGCCCCGCAAGCAATTTGCGGAGCAGCCAGGGGGGCGCTATTTGGAAAGCCTGGGGGGACGCCTGGCCAGCAGCAGTGCAAGTGCGTCCGGTGCTGACACCCGTGGGATTGGACGGACGCAAACCGAGGGGAACGAGCGGCCAGGCAGAGCAGGCAGGGCGGGCAGGCTGCATCACCAAGGGAGCGAAAACGGAGAGCCTGGCCCCGCGGACATCGAATATGTGATACCTCGCGCCAACCACGCCCTTCCAAATCCTCCTGCGCTCTCATGCGGTGTGCCCCTTGGACTAGAGTCAAATGCATACAAACGGACCGTCTCTCCAAAAGCCCTAATCCAGCTCGGCGAAAGTGGCCGGGCTACTTCGCCTGTTAGCATGAAGCCAGAGCCACTAGAACTGAGGCTTGGCTGGGGGCCGACAGCCGCAATGGAGGGGGGGCTAAGCTTTAGTGCAGCAGCCAGAATCCCACCCAGAATATCCATCCAAGCCATCCTACGCTGACATACACGTTTGGGATTATGAAATGCGCTCAGCGCTAGACCTCCTGAGCAGCTGTGCGGGTACAATTCCCGCCAGCCTGCCCTGCAATTGGGTCGAGAGTTGGCTTCGCCTTAACGAGCCGGCCAATCACGATGATGTCGGCGAATACAAGGTGCCCACCACTCGCCAACGGCCGTCGTCGTCGTCGATTTACGAATACAGCCGCGTCTAGCTATACGTGACGAGGCATTCACTGTGTAGGGTAGGCGTCCTAGCCAAGTCCTAGAAGGCGATTCGTATCACCTGTTGTGGTATTCTCGCTCCTTGGTGCTCGAGGAATATTGCGCAAACTCGTAATCATGCTGAGAATGGCTGCCTCGTGTCGCGAATCAGATCGGTCTACATGCCATTAGCCCTTCGTATTCGCCACTGCAGGCACATATCATCCAGTAGCCTTCATCTACAATTGCTTGGCCCCTTAGCGGGTGGGCCAGATTTATGTTGGCAGCTTCCACGTCTTCACCTATTCCAATTACTTACGCGGACAGCATGGCTGTTTGAATTTGTGCAACAAATAATGGGCGCCTCGTGGCCCATCGTTTTCGGTTAACACGTAGCAATTTCCCTAAACAGCGTGCTGGCACGTACTCAGGTTTGTTGGACCTTTCGAAGATCCTGGGCGCCATCGGGGAGTTTTTTTTAGTCCCACAGGCATTGGTTTCTTGTTTTACGCCACCCTGTTTCTAAGTTTATCGATCTTGCAAACAACCCAATTTGCTGGCCATTACGTACTGAGTGAGCCGAATAACACTCCTGTGGCGTGGCAATTATTCTAGAGTGGTAGGCATATAGTCTACTCTAGGCTGTATGCAATATATCTATCTAGAGAAACAGTTGGTTAGACTGTCTAAGTGGCCTCTAAGATCCTGCGAAAATGATTCCACTGCCGCTGTTAGTATGGCGAACCTACCCTGAAGCAACGATAGCGTTGAAGAACGATACACAACTCTAGGTACCAGGTGCCATGGGATTCCTCTAAGAGTCAACGCGCGACTTTAGATTTTTCCATTAGAAGCCTTCCAATAGAAAGATTGTAAGCGAAGCCTGATTACCGAGCTGGGCCAAGAAAGTGCAACTACCCTGTACGAGTAAAAATGTCAGCATGTGCAGTTGCTGCTTGGCTGCAGCTGCCTGCATCTAAATTCATGGTGAGGCAGATTAATGCTGCCCAAACCAGATATCCTACATTAGGTAGCAACCAGACTTCATATTTCGCGTCTACCCGCAGCGGCCCGTACCATTTATCACCTCTGAGAGTGTTTTTAGGGCTCTACGAAACCAAAGATTCGTCGATTAAAGATCGGGCATTGATATTCCAGTCCTGACCTGAAGTATCAAGGCCCATACAGCCCACGGGAAGAAATGTCCAACCCAGAGGACTATACAGTGGGATGGATATGTGCTATTATCAAAGAGTATGTCGCGGCACAAGCCTTTCTTGATGAGATGTATCCCCGTCCCGAGTTCGTGGCTTGCAATGACAGCAATACCTACACACTGGGAAGAATGGGGAAGCATAAAGTTGTGGTAGCTGTGCTTCCCGACGGAGAGTATGGCATATCCGCTGCAACAGGGGTCGTGAAGGATATGCTACACAGCTTCCCTAACGTCAGAATCGGCCTTATGGTTGGTGTTGGCGGTGGAGCACCCAATCGAAAGCATGATATCCGGCTGGGCGATATTGTCGTCAGTGCTCCTCGTGATGGCAGTGGCGGTGTGTTCCAGTACGACTTCGGTAAGACGATTCAGGATCAGAAATTCTGCACCACTGGGTTCTTGAACCAGCCTCCGACCCTCCTGCGTTGCGCTATGGCCGACATCAGGGCCAAATTTGAGATGGAAGGCCACCAGCTTGAAGCTGCCATTGAGGCTGTTCTCGAAAGTAAACCAAAGCTTCGCAGGAACTACAAGCGGCCGAACCAAGACAGTGATAGACTGTATCAAAGTGAAGTTGTCCATCCCGTAGCTGATGATGGGGCCTGTGTCACGACCTGTGGTGATGGTCCGCCAACACTGATAGTACGGCCTGAGAGAACCGATGAAGATGAAAACCCTACAATCCACTACGGCCTGATTGCTTCAGCAAACCAGCTAATGAAGGATGCTTTCGTTCGGGACCAACTTGCCATAGAGAAGGATGTGTTATGCTTTGAAATGGAAGCGGCCGGGTTGATGAACCAGTTTCCTTGTCTAGTAATCCGCGGTATATGCGATTATTCAGATTCCCATAAAAACAAGGAGTGGCAAGGTTATGCAGCAATGACGGCTGCCGCATATACAAAGGACCTCCTTTGTTGCATCCCTCCGAGTAAGGTCGAGGCCGAGAAAAAGATCAAAGACATCCTTTCTGATAGTAAGTTATTATGGCTATTCGAGTTTTACCCACTGTTTCTTACACTATCTAGTCGTGACGAGCATTGGAAACATCGACTTAAAGTTGACTAGAAAGGAAGATCTTGAAATACTCAAATGGCTCAGCCCAACTGATTATGATGCGGAGCAGAACGATCATTTCAGAAAAAGACAGGACAATACCGGACAATGGCTTGTCAACTCCCCTGAATTTCGAAAGTGGATTGAGACCAGTGGGCAAACATTGTTTTGTCCAGGGATTCCTGGAGCAGGAAAGACAATAATGGCGTCAACAGTGATTGAGCATCTGAAGACTCGCTTCTCGGAAGATGAGTCTGCTGGTATTGGCTACCTTTATTTTAACTTTAGGCGTCAAGGCCAGAAGGTGCAGGATCTCTTTAGCAGTTTGCTTATGCAACTTAGCCAAGGCTGGCCAGCTCTCCCGGATTCCGTTACAACACTCTACAAGAAACATCAGACAAAGCGCACTCGGCCTCAGATTGATGAGATACTGGAATCTCTTCAATCTATAATATCGATGTATGCGAGAGTATTCATTGTTGTGGACGCACTCGATGAATATCAGTCCTCTGATGGCTGTCTGGATACATTTTTAACCGACATATTCAAGATCCAGGATAAGACTCAATTAAACATCTTGGCGACATCGAGACATATCGCGGAAATTGCAGCGAGATTTCATGGAGGTAGTTCTCTGGAAATACGAGCTGTAGACGAAGATGTGCGAACGTATCTGGCTGGCCAAATGGACAGATTGCCAAATTTCGTCCGGCGGGATGCCGATTTACAAAATCGAATAAGGACCACAATAGCTCAGGCCGTCAATGGAATGTATGTCGCAATTTCGCCCTGTTTATGTCTGAAAGCTCTAACAAGTTGGATTAGGTTTCTTCTTGCTTCATTACATATAGACACCCTCTCTAGAGAGCCTACAGTCGGTCATCTCGAACTGGCTTTGAATGCTTTGCCCAAGGGACTGGATGAAACATATGACCAGGCTTTGGTGCGCATTGAAAGGCAAGGCGGGGGACTCCAACAATTAGCAAAGGCGGTCTTGTCTTGGCTTGTGTTTGCACGCAGACAGCTTTCCCCAGCTGAGCTTCAATGCGCCCTTGCGATTAAGCCTGGAAGTTCGAAGCTGGACAGAAATTTTATCCCTGATATTGAAATGATAGGATCTATCTGCGCAGGTCTGGTCACAATAGACACTGAAAGCAACGTCATTCGGGTGGTCCATACGACAACGCAGGAATATTTCGAGCGCACACACGACCGATGGTTGCCGAATGCAGAAAATGACATTACAAGAGCTTGCATCACGTACCTTTTATTTGACGAATTTAAGAGTGGTCCCTGCCTATCCGATGATGAGTTTGAGGAGCGTCTGGAATCAAACCAACTCTACTCCTACGCAATAGATCATTGCGTTTGTTCCCTCCAAGCTTCTACAGAGTTACATGAAGAAACAATGATATTCTTAAAGTCCAAGGAAAGTTTAGAAGCCGCAATTCAAACTTATATGGTTGGGAAATATATCCTTCTCAAGCATCTAGATGGCAATTATAGTCAATCATTCCTAAAGGGAGTGAGCATGCTTCATGTGGCAGCCCATTGCGGAATGAAGGGGGTAGTAGAGACCCTTCTTTTAAACGGAGTTGAGCCCTCTGCAAAAGATGACTCAAATCAAACGCCGCTCGTTTATGCCGCCACAAGTGGGTATGAGACTATAGTAAAGCAGCTTCTCGATGCCGACCAGACTGGTGTTGATTTGATGGATATAGACGACCGAACACCGCTTTCATATGTTGCCGAACTTGGCCATGCTGGTGTTGCTAGGCTATTACTTGATACTAGCAAGGCCAAAGTTCAAGTTGACTTGAGAGATAAAGTTGGTCGAACACCTCTTTCATATGCGGCAAAATATGGCCATCTGAATATAGTCAAGCTACTACTTGAAACGGGAAATGCGATGACCGACTTGAAAGATGAGAAAGACCGATCACCATTATCATATGCTGCTGAGAATGGCCATGATGCTGTGGTCAAGCTACTACTCGAAACCGGTGATGTTAATACCGACTCAAAAGATGAGAATGGCCGGTCACCACTGTCATATGCGGCTGAGGAGGGCGACGAGGCTACAACTAAGCTGCTTCTTTGTACCAACACTGTTGAGATTAAATACAAAGACAAAAGTGGCCGGTCACCTCTATCATATGCCGCTGAAAATGGTTGTGATGTTGTAGTCAAGCTACTACTTGAAGCCGGTGATATTAATACCGACTCAAAAGATGAGAATGGCCGGTCACCACTTTCATATGCGGCTGAGGAAGGCAACGAGGCTGTGGTTAAGCTGCTACTTGACCTAAACCCAACTGACGTCAACTCAAAGGACAATTATAATATGACACCGCTTTCATATGCTGCCAATAATAATCATGAAAGCATTGCTAAGATACTATTTGACAAATGGAATGGTGACGTTCGGGCAGCTAGTGACTGTCCGGCGGACATGTTCCGCAGGTCCATCCTGCATAAACCAATAGTGGACATACTGCTCGAAAATGGAAAGCTGGATATTGTCTCAGAGAATGGTCGATCTCCGCTCTTCTGGGCAGCCAGAGCCGGCGCCAAGACGATAGTTGAACGGCTTCTCAATTCAGGGAAGGTTAATGTTAACTCGAAGGACATATTCTTTGGCCGCACACCGTTGTCATGGGCTACTGAAGGAGGGAAAGAAGAAATGGTTCAGCTGCTCCTCGATGTACCAAACGTTGACGTCAACCTGCAGAGCAGTGACGGCCAGTCGCCATTGGCTTTAGCTGCTGTGCGGGGGAGTGAGGCTATAACAAAGCGTTTGCTCAACACAGGGAAGGTTGAAATTGATTTGAAGGATTCGGTAAATGGCATGACGGCATTTGGATACGCGGCTTTGGTTGGGAAGGAGGCCATTATGAGGCTGCTTCTCGATACGGGAATGGTCGACATTAACATGAAATCATGTAGCGACCTCACCCCATTACATTTTGCTGCCCTATACGATCAAGAGGCTGCAGTGAGGTTACTACTTGATACAGGAAAGGCCGATGTTGAGTCAAGGTGTGATGGTGGCGTGACACCACTCGTATTGGTTGCTTGGGCTGGATGCTCGGGTCAAGTCAAGTTACTGCTTGATAGAGGAAAAGCTGATGTTAACTCAAGAGGCGAGAATGATAAAACGCCAATTATAGCTGCTGCTGAACGGGGGCATGAGAGTGTAGTGAAGCTGCTGCTTGAGACAGACGGGTTAGATATTGATCTGAAGGATTCTTTTGGACTCACCGCGATCGACTACGCAGAAAAGAATAAGCATAAGGCTGTGAGGAAGTTACTGCAAGCTCGATTGAGGACATAGGACTCATGTTGAAATAAAGTTATTTACATAACCGAGAAGGTCCGTTGCCTGTTAAATTGTATGCCATAAGCATATGCCGGGTTATACCGTAAGACTCTTTGGCGAGGACGCATTCGAGAATGCAAAATGGCATTTGGTAAGTATGCCTACTGATTCTCTCCAGCTATGCACGAGAGTAAGCGAGCACGGGTGTTGGATAGTGGCGACCAGGGTGAATCCGGCAACTTCAGGCATCTCCACCCACACGCAACATCTTGACCCACGAGACAGGTCTTTGGTGGTCTTGATTGGGAGAGATAGTATAGCCGCTACCGGCATACAGCGGTCCGTTGGGAGATAAGAGAGGGGAAGTGGGTGAGGATACGGCTTCGACAATCAATCAAAACTCCCCTTCCGCTCCGACGACGGCCCGTCTTCCTTGGTGAACATGGAATAAAGCCCTTGTTAATGGGGTGGCCAACCCCGCATCTTCAAGCTGCCATGAATGTGGGACTCGATGTGGTTATAGACTGGCTTCTCTTGCCAATGGATAGGCCCTGCTCCTTATTATCTACGTAGTCTATATTCTCACCCCGTAGGATAGACTAAAGCCGAGTGTTTTCTTTTCCAACAGTTCTCTTCTGCATATATTGTCTGACTTGGGTGAACCCAACTGAGTACCACAATGCCCAGTCTACTCGAACACAATGAATCCATCTTTGCTCCAAAGATTGCTGCCAAGCTGAAAGCCGCGAGCGACAAGGCGTCTAGGGACTTCCGCTCAGATGTAGTCACGGTTCCCACCGAGGGAATGATGGAGGTCAAGCTCGTCCGGTTTACCCATATAGTGAAATGATGGAGAAGTTAACCCCTTTTCCTGGCAGGCTATTCTGAATGCAACATTCAATGACGACATCTACGATCCTGAGGGCGATCCATCGGTGAAAGCCCTCGAGGCCAAGATCATGGAGCTTACAGGAAAGGAGGCGGCACTATGGACGATGTCAGGCACGCAGGGCAACCAGATCTGCCTCAGGACGCATCTCACACAGCCACCTCATTCGGTCCTCTTGGACCACCGGGCACACATACAGTGCTGGGAGTCCGGGGCACTACCGGTCTTCTCCCAAGCCTCCGTTACGACTGTCCATCCGAAAAACGGCGTGTTTCTCACACTGGAGGACGTAAAGGCGAATATGACAGCCGATGGCAATAGTAAGCTTGAAAGGGGGACCCTGCTGAGGAATTTGGATTAACGTTCGACCTAGTTCACTTCCCGCCCACGAGGGTCGTTGCCTTGGAGAACACCCTGAGTGGCACTATTCTACCCCTCCAGGAGGCGAGGAGGATATCCGACTTTGTACGATCCTTCCCTGTCCCGGAGGACTGCAAACCTGTTGCCATGCATCTCGATGCGGCCAGGGTGTTTGACGGTGTGGCCGGGGAGGGTGTTCAGCTAAGAGAGTACGCTGCCTGCTTTGACAGCCTTTCTATTTGTTTGGCCAAAGGACTGGGTGCCCCCATGGGCAGCGTGATTGCGGGTACAAAACCATTCATCGAGCGGGCGAAGTGGTACCGTAAGATGTTCGGTGGAGGAACCAGACAGCCCGGCATGATGGCCGCTGCTGCTCTTGCTGCGCTGGAGAACGCCGTTCAAAAACTCCCAGGAGTTCACGCTATGACCAAGCGTGTGGCATTTGAGCTTGAAAAACTGGGATATTTGTTTGCCTTGCCCGTGCAGACGAACATGATTGTCCTAGATCTAGAGGCTGTTGGCATTCCCGGCTCTGCGCTTGTGGAATACTGCTCCCGGAGTAACCTCGCCACATTCCCTAGCGGTAGATTGGTATTCCATCATCAGGTAACTGAGGAAGTTAGCCAGGCGTTGATCAGCGCTCTGGGAAGGTTGATGAAGGATAAGAATGATGGAGTGAAGTTGTCGGATGAAGAGTTGCAGTCAGGATGCTCTTAGATGTTCCCATTATATCGTTGAGACCAGAACCACCCGCCCTCCAATATCCTAAGTATCAATATAAGGGAGGCCAAGAGCTTGTTGATGAAATTTTCGTACCAGACTACTTGTCTGTGAGCCCATCCAAGAAACTATCCGCTTGTCGCTTTGCACGTCTGTTTGCCATGTCTTTCCTTCGTTGTTCAATCTCAAGCCGGCGAGTTTCCTTTTGCGCATCTCGTTCCTTGCGTTGCTCCTCTGTTCGTTTCCTTTCCTCTTCCAGGTTCTTCATCTCCTGAGTCCGCGTTTCCTCATCCTTGCTGAATTTGAAGAACCCAACACCCTTGCTTCGGATCTCCCAATCCGCGTCGTAGTGCTTCAGCTCAGGCGGCGTGGCACTGCGGTCTCGTTTCCGTGCCAGTTCCTCCATTTTATCAAAGTCGTCTGGGTTGAATGCCATCGACTGGACGGTGTCACCGACTATCAACTTCTCAGGCGCAAGGGGGCGAGCGGACATCCTCTCCAGCTCCTCTGCACCAAGAAGTCCTCGCTTCACTCTCCGGTCGAGCTTTTCCTTCTCGGCCTTTGATACTTGGCGAACTCGTCCAAACTCGTCCTCATACTCCACCATCTCACCCCCCTGGTCCGACTCATCATCGTCAGAGCTGCTGGTGGAGTGCCCTTCCTTCTCTTCCGCATTCTCCGCCCACTTGCGGTCGAAATCAACGAGCGGGGCCGCCTCGTTGTCCTTGGGTACGTAGTCTCCCCTCTTCATCGCGGCGTAGAGGCGAGCCTTCACCTCCATCTTCCGCCTCGCGCGTTCCCTCTCTACGGCCTCATCCTCTGTCCCAATGACGTCTTTGAGGACTAGCTTGCCGTCGTCTTCCTTGTCGCCCTGCTTCTTGGGCTTGCCTGTGAAAAGGTCTTTGTTGGCTTGCTTGCCCTGACGCGACCGCGTAGCGGTGGGCTCTGACGACTTGGCATTTGACATGAGAGACGTCAGCTGAGCAGTGAAGTCCAGTGACGTTGAGAGTTTAGCATCGCGCTTTTGTTTCTTTACAGGGCGCTGGCCGTAGAGATTAGGATCCTGTGGCATTTTGATGATGTTCTAGGCTCCAGGAGGAGCGTGATAGACGCGATCAGGCGGGCTATCTGCTCAAGACTCAAGGATCAAATGTGAGAAAGTGTCGCTGATTCTGGAGGTTGCAATATTGGAAAATGAAAACATGAGAAAGTAAACTCTTTATGCTACAACCATCACGTTGTCAAATTCTCGAGGCGTGTTTGGCACATGATACATGATACTTGGAAATTGATTACGTCAGCTTCTTTATTTGGAGACTGGGCTAAGAGCTGGTCTTCTTTTCTTCTTTATGACCTACCTAGCTCGGTAGGTAGCTCAGAAGCTCCAGCCGGGACCTTGGCCGAGCTCAAATTAGGAGCATTGTCACTAGATTGCATTTTTAGAAGTGATCCTGGGTATGGGGCTGAATGAAAGTAGCTGGACGTGACTTGTAATGCTGGCCTGACCATAATGGAATACGTGCACCGAAATGAGTTGCAGATTAGGCCGCTAGTCGGGATAACATACTGGAAGAGGGAGAGCAGGCAACACTTGTCTAATTAAGACGGACGACAATGTTGGAACCCGTCCCTTGGAATGTATTTTTGGCGATTGGCATTACCTTTCGGGCGACGAATCCGACGTGGGGTCGATCGAGCACGCCAGTCTCAGCTCTTTTCTGCCCCGCCAAAACATCCCACCATCCGCCATCGGCCCCTCGATTTTGTCCCTCATCCCTACAACTACAGCTATTTGTTACGACGGCCAAAGTTGGGTCAATCGCATCATCACAATGTCAGCTGCAAAGCAAGTCTACATTGCCGTTATTGGTTCGTTCTATATTATCAGGATGAAACACCCCGTAGATTGACCAGAAGCTGACAACTCTGATTGATCCCTTCCAGGCGCTGGTGGTGTTGGAAAAAGCTTCCTGTCCCAGCTCCAGGCCCTAGCTACCCGCAAGCCTTCCCCCCAGTTGAAGCTTGCCTACATCGCAACCAGCCGAAAAGCCCTCTTCAACGATGATTACTCCGCGATCGATATCGGAAGTGCAGTCGACTCCCTTGCCGGATCTTCCAAGAGCCCTCTGGCCCTCTCCCAGGTTGTCGACTACCTTGCCGCTGCACCAGCCAAGGCTGTCCTGGTCGACAACACCAGCTCCCAAGACGTCGCAGAGCTCTACCCACTGGCCCTGAGCCGCGGTATTAGCATCGTGACTCCCAACAAGAAGGCTTTCTCAGGCTCCTACAAGCTGTGGCAGGATATTTTCTCTGCCGCCGCCTCTTCTGGTGCCAAGGTCTATCATGAGTCATCCGTCGGCGCTGGCCTCCCTGTTATTTCCACACTTAAGGACCTCGTTGAGACTGGTGATAAGGTTACCAAGGTCGAGGGTGTGTTCAGCGGAACCATGTCTTTCCTCTTCAACTCCTTCGCTCCCACCGAGGGCCAGGGCGGCAAGTGGTCTGCCGAAGTTAAGAACGCCAAGGCTCTTGGTTACACCGAGCCCGACCCCAGAGATGACCTGAATGGTCTTGATGTGGCTCGCAAGCTGACCATCCTCGCGCGCCTGGCGGGTCTACCCGTCGAGTCGCCCACCTCATTCCCCGTCCAGAGCCTGATCCCCAAGGAGCTTGAATCCGTAGCAAGCGGCGATGAGTTCCTTGAGAAGCTCCCTGCCTTTGACCAGCAGCTTGAGGACATCAAGGCTGAGGCCGAGAAGGAAGGAAAGGTTGTTCGTTTCGTCGGCAGCATTGACGTTGCGACTAAGAGTGTCAAGGTCGGTTTGGAGAAGTTTGACCGTTCTCACCCAATTGCCGCTCTCAAGGGCAGCGACAACATTATCAGCTTCTACACTGAGAGATACGGGAGCAACCCACTCATCATCCAGGGTGCTGGAGCTGGTGGTGACGTGACTGCCATGGGTGTGACGGGCGATTTGATCAAGGTCGTGTCGCAGATTGCATAAGCTAGAAAAAATTGATTCTAAGAGTTGGACGCGAGCCAGTTATATTTTCTCATTTGGTCCGCTGTGATTGGCTTTCTCGTCGCGTGATCTTCTTTTCGTCGGGCTGGGGGGTGGTGATGCAGCATGCGCCACATGGTTCGTATTCGGAGGCAGTGTTTGCTTTCGACATTGTCGCCAAATCCATATGAAGATATCGAGAATGATGAGGAAAATGAATGGGCCGGACAAGATGATGCCCATCCCGAGCTAGAGGTGCCAGAGTTAGCGCGCAGCCACATATAAATGCATCTGTAAAAGCTTCTGATGGTGTTGACATACGCAAAAAAGGGAGACGAGGTGGACGATCATGGATGACGTGGGGGAGATGATCCCGCTCAGTATCCAGGACGATTCCACGACTGCTTCAGACATGATGATGGATAGCTTTAGCGATGAAGAAGAAGAAGGCAGTTCAAGTCAAGGTCCACAAGGGGTCAACAAGGGCTTTTCAATAAGTTCGCATCCTTGCACGTGTCTGATGCACGATCGTGTGATGGGCTCGTGAAGATCACGGAACTGGGAGATAAACTCCTGTTTAGCTCATTTCCGCCGAGCCCGGTGTCGTAGATAAGGTGGAGTTCGGCAGAGCTGCACCCACCGCCTTCCGTTTCAGGCCCCTGGTGCAAAACCCTGTAGCATCAACAGTTTCCATGTGACAAGCAGCGAAAAAAAGGTCTTAACTACAGTTTAATATCCTCTCGCCCAAATCAGATTGCAGAGAAGCGCCCTGGAAGTCGCAAAGATGCCCAAAGCCTCGGGATACAAGCAAGAGCAGCGCGAAGCCTACCGCCAGAACAAAGAGCGAAATGGCGGCGCACAACTCCCCCAGAAGCGGTTTTATCGACAGCGCGCACATGCAAATCCCTTCTCGGATCACTGTTTAGAATAGTAATATGCGCACAGCTCCTGGCTCATAAAATTTGCTCGGCTAACTTCTGACCAGCCCGGCAGCTCCCGATCAAATGGATTGGGCCCCATACTTCCCAGCATTTGTTGACCAGTCTGAGTCCAATGACCCGTCTAAGCCAAAGCCCCTCACAAAAGATATCGAGGTTGTTGACATTGGCTGTGGGTTTGGCGGGCTCTTGGTCGCATTGGCGCCTCTCATGCCAGAGACGCTTATGCTCGGTGAGTTAATCGATTCGGAGAAGATGGCATCTTGTCTACGAACCCCGTTTCCTTCAACAAGTTTACTAAACATCCACATCTAGGCCTTGAAATCCGATCAACTGTGTCTGATTTCGTCAAGGAGAAGATCTTGGCGCTCCGGGCTCAGAACCCAGGTGGTCCTTACCAGAATGCAGCCTGTCTACGGGCGAACACTATGAAGTTTCTCCCAAATTTCTTCAAGAGAGCTCAGCTGAGCAAGGTCTTCATCTGCTTCCCAGACCCGCACTTCAAGAACCGCAAACACAAGGCGAGAATTGTATCATCGACGTTGAATTCTGAATATGCCTATGCCGTAAGGCCTGGTGGCATAATCTATACCATTACTGATGTAGAGGCTCTTCACCATTGGATGGTTGAGCATCTGGATGCGCACCCTCTGTTTGAGAGAATCTCGGAGGAGGAACAGGAAAAAGACGAGTGCGTACAAGTGATGAGAACGGAAACCGAGGAGGGAAAGAAGGTTGCACGGAACAAAGGCGACAAATTCGTCGCGCTCTTCCGGCGCCTGGAAGACCCTCCTTGGTAATGCATCAATTTTGCATCGTCTGGGTGGTGGAAAACGTAGGGAGGGTTGAAAGTACAATATAATTCCAGGCTTACATGGGGCACGATAGGCCCTTTCCTAGGATGATGTCAATGGGCCGATAAATTAATATGACGAGTCAAAAGCACAATACAAACAGACCATAGCAACGCTCTTCTGCAAACACATCAATGAATTCGACATCTGATCCCAGTTCTGGCAAGGCCTCTTGGAAGCACTGCCACGATGATCAGGTCTTCCAGGCCATTTATTCGGATCAGGCAACTGCTGCTGGGGTGTGCTCCCGGGCTGCGACTGCCCCTCCATTAGCGACACTGACACATGCTTGGAGCGCCTGTTTAATTAATACGACGTAGCCCACCAGCCCACCTAATCAGTAAGGTGATGAACCACGCGCGCATTGACCCACCACAATGACCACACGTCCCCCTACCAAAGCACAGTCCCAAGGGTCTCCTATTACCCGCCTTGTGACGCTAATCGATACCTAAATCTACACCGTAGATGTGGTCTTGACGAAGAGTGTAGCTTCATTGTTTAGGCAATACGCGGCTCGCTCCCCGTGGACCCTCTCTTCGCACCCCGACAACGATGCGCCCGAGAAGCTCATACTGGCTATGGCCCTAAAGCGACGAGATGCGGCGCTCGCAGCTGTGGCCGCCTTCATTGCGTGGGGGTACGCTGTTAGCTGGCTCCCGGCCCTGCGTTGGGTTTGGTATGCATTTGTCGCAGGTCTTGTCGTCTCTGTCCTCGCCTTTCTGGCCTTAATCGGCCTCACCTCTCGCCTCCCGCCAGAGGCCAAGCCTCGACCCGATGGCGTCAAGTTCATGGGATCAAGCGCCTGGCGCACCGAACTTGATGGCTTGCGAGAACGGCAGCTGTACACAAAAGCCTCCCTGGACCTCGAAGCGCCCCTCGTGTCTAAAGCGGTCGACGATCTCCTCGAGTTAATAATGCGAGACTTTGTATGTAGCTGGTACTCGAACATTAGTCCTAATCCAGTGTTCCCGAACGAAGTAGATCGAGCCATCCGAATGGCATTGTTTGGCCTACGGGATTCGCTACGAAATAAAGACTTCGCCGAATTGATAACTAGTCGCATTGTTCCAATACTCACGGCACATTTCCGAGACTTCTATGATGCAGAGAAAGCTGTTCGAGGGCGCAAGCTCAACCGATCCGTCACAGAATCAGAGGAGCTCGACCTTGCGATTGCATCCAAGTTTCGAGAAGGACGGCTGCACCCCGCTGCTTCGCTCTCTTTCCCCGATCTCAAGATGATCCAGCAGGACTATCTTCGAAATGTTGTTACAAATATTCTCCCCAAGATCCTCCCACCGGAGATGCTCACGAGCCGAGTTGTGTCTGTCCTCGTCCAGGAGATAGTAAGCTGTTCTGTGCTCTCGCCTGTTCTCCAGACGCTATCTGAGCCGGATACTTGGAACCAAATAATGGAAAACTTTGGTCGGTCGATGCTTCAAGACAGGTCCACTGTCCGAAAACTGAGAGCTGCTCTGGATCAGCACGCCGTGCCAAGCCCAAAATCGGGCAAGACAGCTATGTCGACACCTAGGATCATGCCAGGGGATAGTGAACGCAAGTTTGAAAAGTTCATCCGAAGCATCCGGAAAGTCAACAATCTCTCAGACGCTCGGCGCTTCCGAAGCGAAGTTGCTAGCCAACTGAAGAGGGACTCCCAGGAAGAGACATCGGATCAAGTGTACTTGCGTCGACTTGAAATGGGAAAGCGGCTGCTAGATCAAAAAGTCCACCACTTTTCTACTGGAGGGGGAGATCGGATGCCCGCCACCCCGGCAACTCCTTTTGTCCCTGCTTCGACATCTCACCTTGAGGATGCATCTCTGGTAGAGCTTCTCAGGGACTCTTCCGCTATTTCCTACTTCATGGAGTATATGGATAGACAAGGGCTGATGTCTCTAGTTCAATTCTGGCTGGTCGTTGATGGTCTGCGGAATCCCCTGGAGGATGATGGTCAAGATGATGAACAACTGCCTTCCACACTCTCCATGTGGAAAGACTCGGATCGCCTAGATCTCCAGCAAATCAGCCAGGCCTATCTATCGAAATCGGAGCTGAAGGTGTCGGATGCCTCCAAAAATGAGGTACGGGAGTTCCTCAAGGCAGGCAAAGCTGCCACACCTACGCAATACTACAGAGCTCGGAGAGCAGTTCTTAAAGCCCAGAGCACGGTTTTGGAAGAGATGAAGAACCGCTTTTTCCAAAGTTTCAAGAAGTCCGACTTATTTTACAAGTGTCTCGCCTCTCAAGAGGCGTCCAACCATAAAACCCTAACAACTCCTATCCACCCACCAAATCCTAGAGCTTCCCAGTCCTTCCACTCCAAACCCAAGCCGATCTCCCGTCTAGCTCCACCACTAAATCCGGGCGCGAGACGAACTGGGTCGGCCCAAGATCTCCGGGCTTTGCATGCGAATGCAACTGGATCGGACGCTTCAAAACCGACACGAAGATCCCTTGACGAGAGCCCCCCTAGCACTCTGCCTCTATTTGACGATGATGACTTGGAACACGACGAAATGATGGACTCGGTACAGAGCTTGGATCAAAATGGTCATGCTCAAAATGCCCCTGACACGCAGGTGGTACAAGCTGTTGAGGCAGCTCTCACTAACATTCTGGAGGACGATCGGCCTCAAACGGCGGAAGATCTTCGAGCCTCCCTCTTCGGAGGATCAGAAGATCTCGCTTCCTCAAGTCTATTTTCGGGAAATGATAACGAGTCGTATCGTGGTTCAATCGATTCCGGAAGGCCATTAATATTCGCCAAGGATGGGAAAGAACCTGAGAAGCCAAGTCTTTCTTCTCTTGGTCTGGTCAGCCCAGCCTCGCGTATCGGGGTTTTTGTCGATGATGACTTGTTTGGCGACGAGGACAAATACCTCTCCCATGGAGACGACGAGGACGATGATAAGGATCGGGTTGACGAAGAAGACGAGGTTCATGAGGCAGCTCCTGGTGACCTTGGGCTTGCCGAGGCTATTGCCGCTCTTACAAACGATATCGACCGCTTGACAGCACAGGAAGCAGTTGTGGATTCCCTCACAAGAAAGGCAGAATTGACCAACAATACGGCAGAGCTACGCATTTTGAAAAAGTCAAAGGCAAGCTTGCAGAGAGAAATTAGAAGAAAAGAATTGCAGCGACAGCAATATGTCGTCCAAGAAAGTGACAACAGTCTCTTTGGCCGGTCAGTTATCAAGATCAAGAGCATCCAGGTAGGGAGGGAAGATGACGGAAGGGAATTTGCCCTTTATGTCGTTGAGGTGCAGCGGAATGCTGGCGAACAGATGCCGGCAGCTTCTTGGACTGTCACACGACGGTACAGCGAATTCCACGAACTTCACCAGAAATTGCGGTCCCGGTATCCGTCAGTGAGGAATCTTGATTTCCCACGGCGCCGTATGGTCATGAAGTTTCAGAGCGAATTTCTACGAAAGAGGCGACTTGCGCTAGAGAAGTACTTGCACGAGCTTCTGCTGCTTCCCGAGGTGTGCCGCAGTCGGGATTTACGAGCCTTCCTCTCCCAGAGCGTCATTGCACCTGGACAAGACTTGCTAGACAGAGAAGACAAGAAGGATATGATGACAAGGCTATACGATTCAGTTGCAGACGGCATGGACGATATTCTGGGCAACATCCCGGTGCTAGACCAAATCTCAGTCGCCGGGCAAAACCTCATTGCCGCTGCAACCAGCCAGCTCAATGCTGCGCCGCTGAATGGGAACGAAGACAACTTCCCTGCGGCGGAGGCTGAAGCAGAACTGAATGCGTTCGAAAATAAAGAGCTCGAGCCGTTCATCAAGCCCATCTGTGATATCTTCCTGGAGGTCTTTGAGTTGAATAAGGGCAACAACTGGCTACGGGGGAGAGCGGCTGTCGTGGTGCTCCAGCAACTACTAGGTGGAACCATCGAGCGCAAGGTACGAGACATCGTTAAGATGTCAGTCCAAGAGGAGAATCTCTTGAAATATCTGGGCATGCTTCAGGGCAATTTGTGGCCAGCAGGAGAGCTCAATCGAAACCGAAAGCCCAGAACCTCGGCTGAAAAGAAGAAGACAAGAACGGAAGCCAGCTTAATGTTGGCGACTCTTGTGCCTGATCTGGCCGGGAGCGTGGTTGGTAGAGCCAATGCCCAAGTTGCGAGCCGACGAATTTTCGCCACTTTCAACAACCCCAGACTCAAGTGCGTTTATTTCCACTCCTCCCCTACACATCCCTTTCAGACAATTTACTAACTACATTGCTAGTGCACACCTAATTTTCACATTGTTGGATGAAATTATCTCGATTCTTTTTGAGGAATCATAGATGGCCAATGGAGAATGGCCGAACCACGGAGTTTGGAGTCTATTATGAGATGCTGCGACGGCATAAGAAGCGACTGTAGATAACGGATAAGGATTGAATGATGCTTCTGCAAGTTCGGGAACTACGGAACGTAATGACCATATAACACACACTACCAGTACGACATAATAATATCACGGTTACACCCATCAATTAGCAGTAGTATATCCAAGCGAGGAGCGGCCTCCGGGTGATATGATTCGTCGCCAGAAAAGTATGGATGGCGCAGGGGGGAATCTTGTTTGCACGTCGCCAGGGAGGAATCGGAAGCAGCTCAGAGGCAGCTGTGGTTGGGGGAGGGGCTGAAATGCAATACTACCACGCAGTAGGTACGTAACACACCAAGTGCTGCAGGCTGCTGTTGATGTGGATGCGGGGGTGGAGGGGAGGCGGAGAGTGTCTCGTTCGCCTCGCCCTCTCTGCCGGTAACTGTAGGTAAGACATATCCCTCGTCGTCCCATCCCATGCGAGGTGATCTGATATTATGGCTCTCGTGTCCACGCACATATGTACAAAGGCATCACCAGGCGGCATGAGGTCCGGGGAACCTGGCAGCCAGCTTTGCCTGATTCGGGAAGGCGCTCCGCTGCGACAAGCGCCCAAGCCCCCCAACAGCGCTCAGCCAGCTCCTCACAGGTGCGCTGAACCCCCGAGCGGGTTCCCATTGCAGCGGCGTGCATGAGTGCGGGTCCCAGTCATGTGACTATTGCGTACCTGCCAATTAGGTGTGCGACACTAGTCCCGGTTGGTGGGCGCCATCAGCACCCACCCGCCCAAAGAAAGAAGAATGAGAAGGCAGCTCAAATCGAGTCTCCCTCTCCCACAACGCCACTCCACCATCAGCAGATTGCTACACACATAGTATATCATCCCAGCCTGACGACGAGCGCTCGTCCCCCGTGTTGTGTCCTCCCTTTGTGCCCGGCTCCCAGGATTCCCCGAGACAATTTACAAGGTTTTTTTTCTGGTTTGGATCTCTTAACAACTCAACTTTCCTGGCTGGCACTACCATACCCAACGGCAACATGACCGAGGTCTCGGCTACCCGCCTCTACTTGGGCAACCTCCCTCGCACAGGTCCATCCACCTTACCGTTGCGTCGCAATCGCTTCCCCCAACTGACGCGATGAGGAACAGCTACCAAGGCCGATATCGAGGCCCACTTTGCGACCCATGGCACCGGTGAGATCACGGAGGTGAAGCTGATGAACGGCTTTGGCTTCATCGAGTACAAGGATCCCATGGATGCCCGCGATGTCGTTCCAGGTTCGTCAGACCACTCTAGCCCCCCGATTTGGTGTGCGCAAATGGACTAACTCGTCGCTCGTTTCTGGCAGCCTTCCGTATGTGATGCCCGAACCGCTCGCCGCTTCCTCTTCTGCCCAGGCTAACCAGCGACACGCCCAGATGGATCCGATTTCATGGGAGAACGACTTACAGTGCAGTTTGCCCGTGGAAGCCGACAGCGAGAAGGGGCTTATGGCCCTCACGAGCGCGCCCCTCCGCGTCCGCGACGAACTCCCCATCGCATGCAAATCACAAATCTCCCTCAGGACACCAGCTGGCAGGTCTGTTTCCCTCCTCTTCTTCCCTTTCGCCGGATACCATGGATTCCACTCCTCCCCTACTTTCCGAGCGGGTCTTTGGGCTTTCTGAGAGACAGGAATACGGGTTCCATCGTTGGATGATGTTCTTGCGCCCCCGACGAAGCCATGGTTTGGCATTTCCCCAGGTTGCGCGTTTGGGCGGGACGGACGACGATGGAGTCACTTTAACCACCTGTGCTCGACCTCATGCGGTTCCTACTCTCTGGTATCTCCTGATTTGACAGGCGATCTTGTGGATAACGTGGACTTCCTTTGGCTCCTTCTTTATAACCTCTCCCTGGACATGGACTTACTTGGATACTGGACACAGGATCTCAAAGATTTTGCTCGCCAATCGAGCCTCGACGTGGTGTACTCCGAAACAGGACGCGATTCTAATGGACGAGGGTAAGGCTATTGGAAACACAAAAGTGATGTTTCCGATGGAATCTTGAGCTGACTGACGTCAACATAGATTCGTCGAGTTTGAATCTGCCGCGGACCTGAGGACCGCCGTGGAAAAGTTGGATGGCCGTGAATTCAAAGGCAGCCGCGTCCAATGTGTTGCTGATGTAGGTTTCAATCTGACCTGATCTTAGTTTGGTCGTTGATGCTAACTCGGTACCTATCAGACTCAGCCGGACATTCCTGCTTCTCGTGGTAGGTCCCGATCTCCCGGGCCTGGACGTCGCCCGTACCCTGGTCCGACGGAGGACTATGACCGGCGCCAGCCTCCCCGAGGCTACAGTCCTCGCCGCGATGCGCCTTATGGATACCGTGATCGCAGCCCTCGACGTGATTACTATGACGACCGTGGACCACGCGCCTACCGTTCCCCTCCACGACGACCAGCGGAGGACTACCCACCCGCTCGTGGACGATACGATGATCCCTACAGGAGGGATTACGCGCCGCCCCAAGACCCCTATGCCAATGGTCGGCCCTATGAACGGGCCCCAAGAGACTATCCTCCGCAACGGGATGCTCCATATCCTCGCGAAGGTTATCCGCCTCGCGAGTATGAGCGTGGAGGGCGCTACTGGTAAATTCATTTCCTCATCTTTACCCATCCTCATCCTCATCACGTCCACATCCCTATTTCATTTTCGTGTGCCACATGAGTGAACCCGTCCTTGACCGGGGGTTTAATAGATTGGTACCGTCCTCAGACGCGTTGCAAATGAAACCGACAATGTCAACGACGGTAAACTGCAATCAGGCTGCGGAGATGGCTCTAGCTTGATACGACGCTTGCAGAATATGTGTTGTACTTTGCTTATCAGGACGAATTTGATGTTATTATGGGGACGGGGACGTATTACTAGTTCCTTCCGACTCTTCGCTAACGATCTGGAACGCTGCTACGGTATGGGATGGTACGGTATGATACGGGAGGCTGTGACAATAGCAAAATGGATTATTATGCGGGGCGGAACGCTGCGAAACGATCGTTGTTGTTATGAATACTCGGGTCCGCGCTGGTGATGTTTGACCTATTTGGGCTGGTCTATCTGTGTCTATACTTTGACTTTTTTCTCTTTTCTTTGCTTTTTTTCTTCTTCTTTTCTTTATTCCCTTCACTGGTACTTAACTGTTCTTTCAATCGAAATTTCAATTCAAATGTCAAGGTGCTCATTTCTAACGTAAAAGGAAATAAAATATAAAGTGAGGGCAGACGGAAACCTAAAAAGTACAGAGGTGGGCTTTTTTTCTACATCCAAAAGAGGATAATAAGGGACTTAGGAGCCAGAAACGAGGTTGAGCGATAATGAACACATATGTAGGGATTGAAATATCAAAGGGAATCATAACAGCTCATGGAGCGCAGGTGACGTAGGCAGTAGATTTCGTTCGCATCAGATCTTCCAGCGCAGGACTCGCGCGCCGCGTCTTCCCTTTTTTTTCTTAATAGAGAAATGTTTGATGGATCCTGTCCCTGCGCCGGTCACGCAGATTTCGAACCCAGACAGGTTAGATATTTTAAGCAGTCTTCTTCCACTGCGTGTAGATGCCGATCAAACTGCTCAGGGTACCGGCAAGACCGACGACGCCGTCGTCCAGGTTGACCCAGCCGAGGCCGGAGGTTGGGATGGTCAGGTCGGCCAGATCGGAGACGAGTTGCAGTCTGCTGGCGGCGCGCTCACTGTGTACATTGTTAGCAGAGTGGTCAAACCAATGAGTCAGGAGATGGAGATGTCTTCCGTCCGGAACTGGGATCGCGGGATTAGGATGAAAGCTGGGGTGTACATACATTGCGATGCGCTTGCTCTCGACGACGCCCTCGCCGTCCTTCTTGTCGACCTTGGCCTCGCGCTGGTTCAGCCTGTACTGGGTATACAGCTGCCCGGCGATGCTGAAGAGGATGCCAAAGGCCCAGCATCTGTAGGCGTTTGTCTGCGCGCGCTTGGCGCCCTCCCACTTCCTGATGGCGGCGGCGTCGAGGACGGTGGTGGCGTCGAAGCTGAGGTAGCCGGCGTAGCCGAGCTGGCGGCCGACCGAGGTGTAGCGCAGGAAGGGGTCGGCGACCTTCGCGTCGGCGGCGGTGGCGGCGGCCTTGAGGTGCTCGATGTTCTTGCCGATGCGGAAGAACTTGCGCATGAGGCCGAGCTGCTTCTTGGTCTGGGTCCAGGGGGCGACGGCGGAGGCGACGGCGTTGGTGCGGAGGAGGTACCAGGCGTAGAAGCGGGCGAAGTACTGGACGGTGCGGAGGAGCTTGTCGCGGCCGACGGTGGTTGCGACGAACTTGAGGTAATGGGCCACCGAGGGGTGGTAGATGACGGCGTCGGCGACCATTGTGACGGGGGTTAAATGCGAAGGCGGAGGGTTTTGGAGGGAGAGTGAGGAGGAGATGAAGGAGAGGCTGATTCTGGTCGGTGGGAGAGAACCCAAGGAAAGTACGGAGAATAAAAGTGAGGGAGCGTGAGATCTGGGGAAGGAAAAGGAGATGATGTCGTCGTGCGCTTGTGGCGTGTGGTGTTATACGTACGACACCGAGAGATGAGACAGGGAATATGGACCAGGGACGGCGATGGAAGGTGAAGTGGGAGCCGAGGTCCCTTTCCCCACACTCGCAGCGCAAGCCGGGGAAGAATGCGTCTGGCGAGCACTGCGCTGGCCAATGGCGCACGCTGGGTCGAGTCTGGCGCACGTAGCAGCTAACGCAGATGGAGCAAAGACAACCGATGGATGGGCTCGTTGTCGGACCACACACCCAGCAGGCAATTTTCCTGGCCGTCTCAATGAGGAAATAAAAATGTCAAGTGGTTCCAGTGCTTGTGTTGCTTGCATCCCCTAGCACACCT